CCGGGTTATTTATTACTTCGACACTCCTGCACTTAGGAGAAGACATCAATCTTTTAGTCGTGTCAAACTATATGTTACAAGAGATAAGCATTCTAGTAATACATCTTCACATACCATGCAAGATGGAAATAACGAAGAATATATAGAAGCAGAACCACAACAAACCACTGGCAATGAAGAAGACCAAATAGAGGTACTGCAACAAGAAACTCAAGTACCTCAGTTGCCAGCTTTCCTACTTCAATTGTGTCCTGAGTTTAAATCTGTAACTGAACCTTAAGTAAGTTCTGAGACTCAACTCAAGATTCTACCGTACAGAACCATAAGAGGAAAACCCAAAACTGCGTATAAACCACTTCTCACCTCTAAACCTCATTATCCTATGAGTAATTTTGTGTCCTACCATAGATTATTAAAGGAAAATGAAATATGAATCAAATATCTGCTATATCTATTCCTAACAGTGTGCAGGAAGCCATGACAGATTCAAGATGGAAAGAGACTATGAATGAAGAAATGAGATCCCTTGAAAAAAAATTACACATGAGAAGTGGTTGAACTTCCTACAGGAAAGGTACCGGTTGGATGTCGGTAGGTGTTTACCATTAAACACAAAGCGAATGGCACCATTGAAAGGTTTAAAGCAAGGCTAGTCCTCAAAGGATACACTCAAACTTATGGGATTGATTATATGGAAACATTTGCACCGGTGGCCAAGATAAATACTGTTCATATCCTACTATCTTTGGTTGTGAACCTTGACTGGCCCCTATATCAACTTGACTTAAAAAATGCATTTTTACATGGGGATCTCCAAGAAAAAGTATATATGGAATTATCTCCTGGATGTATTATGCAAATCAAAGGAAGCACAAAGGTATACAGGTTAAAGAAATCCCTATATGGGTTAAAGCAATCTCTAAGAGCATGGTTTGGGAGGTTTACTAATTTCATGAAATCCATTGGATACAAGCAAAGCAACTCAGACCATATGTTATTCTTGAAAACTAAAAAGGGAGAAGTCACAGCTCTGATTGTATACGTAGATGATATGATAGTAACCGGAAATAATCCTGGAGAGCAGAAAGCGTTACAGAATTGTCTTGCCCAGGAATTTGAAATGAAATCTCTAGGTCACTTAAAATACTTTCTTGTTATTGAAGTATCAAGATCGAAAGAAGGAATTTTTCTGTCTCAATGAAAGTATGACCTATATTTGTTAAAAGAAACAGGTATGACAGCTTGTAGTCCTGTCAGCACTCTTATAGAAGAAAACCTAAAACTGAGTATACATCCATAACAAATCCACACTAATAAAAAACATTATCAGAGACTATTGGGAAGATTAATGTATCTTGCACATACCAGACCTGATTTAGCTTATGCTTTAAGTGTAATTAGTCAGTTTACGCTCTCCCCTAGTGAAGAACATATGAAAGTTGTCACCCGTATCTTGCGCTACTTGACATCATCTCCAGGTAAAGGAATTTTATTTAAAAAGAGGGATAACTTGAAGATTAATGGATATAACGATGTTGATTGGGCAGGGTCAATACAGGATCGAAGATCTACATCGGGATATTTCACATTTGTGGGTGGAAACTTAGTCACCTGGCGAAGTAAAAAACAAGAAGTAGTAGTTAGATCCTCAGCTGAAGCTGAATACAGGGGAATGGCCAAAGTGATATGTGAATTATTATGGATAAAAAATTTGATGCAGGAATTACAGGTTAAGCAAACAGGTCCTATGAGATTGTATTGTGATAGCAAGGCAGCATGTGACATTGCTGAAAACGCTGTCCAAAATGATAGAACTAAGCATGTTGAAGTTGATAGACATTTTATCAAGGAAAAATTGGAAGCAAAAATTATCGAAGTTCCTCATATTCGATCACAAGATCAGCTTATAGATGTGCTGATGAAAGCAACATCCAGCCAAGTTTTTCATACCAATCTTGACAAATTAGGCATGAATGATATCTATGCACCAATTTGAAAGGGGGTATTAACATTATGTTAGTTTCACCTTGTTGTTACTCATGCAGAATATGGTTATATCACTTAGGAATTCATTTGTAACAAACTGCAATTGTAGAGGTCTTTCCGTAAAAGTCAAGGAATAGTTTCTACTGCTTACTGCTATATAAAAGTAGATATATTGATGAATTAAAAAAAATAGAACTTGAAATTTGTATACAAATATTATGAATAAAATTTATAGAGTGAAACTCGTTTTATCAAAGGATCCCTTCCTTATTGTCCTTTGCTAAGCTCTTTATTATTAGATTTGTATCCACAAAACATTGGTGTTGGAATACCAGTTAAGATTTTCTACTTTTTTTCCTTATAGTGGAGCTTGGTTGAAAATATCTTAAATTCATTTTTTTCCCCTACAATTCTCAATCGTGATTCTTTCTTATATGAATTATGGTTGATATCATATCCTTTGTCTAAGCTCTAATTTAGTGCTTAGTATTATATTTTAAAAAAAATTAAATTTTTTTATTTTAAATTAATATTTTCAAATCATTATTATATTTTCAAACAGAAAATACTTTTAACTAGAATCCTGTATGTTTTGGTTGAAATATCTTAAAAAACAATGCTGAACACATCTTTAATCTGCTAAAAGATTGTGCGATGCAAACAGGAAGGAATATATATCTGGCGGTCATGTGATGCCCAGTTTTAGTGTAGGTTTAGGATTGTTTTTTAAATAGAACTTGTTAAAATTTAATTTTTTAATTTTTTAATATTTAAATTAATTTTTTTAAAAAAATATTTTGTTAATATATATTTTAAAAATAAAAATAAAAAATAAACTCTTAACAAACTGAGTTTGTTAATGACTCCTGAAACTCTTTACCATTTTTTTTTTTAAAAGGAAATCATCATGCAAACGACTGTCGTCTACCCCAGGTGTCTTCTTCAACCTCTAGGCCCGTTGTCTTCCATGGCAGTGCTGAAGGTCATTTAAAGTCCCAATTTAACCTATAAATTCATCACCTCAACGTATAATATGTATTTATAGATCCAAATAAAACAAAATAACACCAAAAGACAAATATCCAAATCAAATGGTTTTAAGAGTTTGTATTAAATCTTTCGATCCGAATCCGCAATCAACAATTAGAACATGAGATCTAGCGGATGTACCACTGCCGAATATGTTTTTCCGGCAACCCTTTTTCTCTCCCCCCTCCCTTTCTTGTCTAACATGTGAATGGTACGGTACACCTTACCATCTAAGCCTTCAAAAATTCTTTCGCCGCGTGTTGTTCATAGAAAGACCATCTTAATTTTAAAGCTTTAGTGATCATCTAAACCCTTAAAAAATCATTCGCTACCTGTTGTTTATCTAGGAATCTTTTCAATGATTTATATAATTCTTCGAAATATGAGTGGAAAAGACATTAAGTTCTTATTTGTTTTTTTATGTTTTAAAAAATTTAAAATTGTTTTATTGTTTTTTTATTTTAAATTAATATTTTTTAATATTTTCAAATTATTTTAATATAATAATATTAAAACAATAAAAAATATTATTTTAATATATTTCTAAATAAAAAACAATTTAAAATAAAAACCACAACTGCACCTCAAAATACTCCATTAAAAATAACAAAAGCATGGCGCATTGCAAAAGTTTAGTAATAAAATATGTGGAAGAGCACTCAAATGGTGAGCCCACATTTATTAATATATTTTTAAATAAAAAATATTTTAAAAAATAATAACAACCTCATTTCTAAACTAAACATTCATAGGTAATAGCAAAAGAAGCTTTGCAAAAGTTTTGTAATAAAATATGTAGAAGGGCACTCAAATGGTGAGCCCATGCCCATCAATAATTTAAACACTGCATCGATTATCGAGAGTAGTGGTGTGGCTAGGGCTAGCAGAAAGATATGGCCATCGAAACTCCGCTGTTAGTGGACAACCCTGTGGAAGACTCTGTTGACTACAAAGGCCGTCCGGTTTACAGATTCAATTCTGGAGGATGGAAATCCACACTTTTTATTATAGGTATGTGCTGGTAGCCAAACTAAACATCACTCAAAAGATATTTGGTATTTAGTATGATGTAAATTAACCCGGCTAGTCTGCATATGCAGTTGTGGAAGTTGCAGAGAGGTCTGCATATCTTGGGATAGCAGGGAACTTGATAACGTATTTGACAGGGCCCTTAGGACAGTCAACGGTTACTGCTGCAGAGAACATGAATGTTTGGTCTGGAACATCATGGTTGCTGCCTTTGTTAGGTGCATTTGTTGCTGATTCTTTCATTGGTAGATACAGAACCATTGTTGTCTCTACGCTTATCTACATCTTGGTAACTACTTAAATTTTCTTTCTCCTGTTTTTTATTTTACAAAGGCGTGACGGTTTGATTGTGATTGTCTAATACTTGCTAACATAACTGTTCATGTTAGTCTGGACATAAGAGCATCTATAACGTAATCTCAATTCACAGGGACTTGGCTTGCTGGCTCTATCAGCTGTTCTTCCTCCTCTCAGCTCTTCTGGCTGCCAAAGTTCCGATAGTGCCGGGTCGTGCTCTCCTGATCCTGTTCTGATTTTGTTCTTCTTTGCTTTCTATCTAGTAGCACTTGGACAAGGTGGATTCAGGCCTTGTGTTCAGGCTTTTGGAGCTGATCAGTTTGATGGACAAGACCCTGAGGAGCGCAAAGCCAAAAGCTCGTTCTTCAACTGGTGGAATTTTTTTATGAATGCTGGCGTCATAGTAATCCTACTGGCCTTAAACTACATCCAAGACAACATTAATTGGGTTCTGGGATTTGGGATCCCATGTCTTCTTTTGGCCGGAGCACTTGCAATATTCTTACTTGGAACTAGGACATATCGGTATAGTATCAGAAGGGAAGAGAAACATGCGTTTTTGAGAGTCGGTCGGGTCTTTCTTGCGACTTATAGGAATTGGCGAATCACTACTGCAGTACCCTTTGAAGAAGAAACTCACAGAGCCCAACCTCACCCAAGTTCTGGGCAATTCAAGTAAGTGAACTCGTGTTACGACTTCTTGAGAATTTTTATAGAAGCGAATATTGACGATACATCAAGCAGAAAGCAGTTTTCTGATAAATCAAGAGCCTTTTGGAAGTACAAACCATTTTTAATTCGTAATGTCAAGGTTTTCTTGTGCTTACTGTTTTCAATGAAGCATCCAGTAAAATACTTGGTAAAAACCATTATGATCATCCAGTGAAATACTTGGTAAAAACCATTATGATTTGTTAAAGCATTCTCAATTTGATTGGCAGACAAATCCTTGCACTATATTAATCCATAATTTATTAAATCAGAATACGTTTAATACCAAATAAATGTAAGATTCCTGTCCTGAAGATAAACCCTTACTCTATCACTTCATAGAGTTGTCCACTACATGATATTTAACCAGTGACCAGGGATAAACAGATGCAAAAGTCCATCAGAGGCTGGTGTATCAAAGTCCCAAGCCATGGTTGATTAGTTGCAGTGTCTCAAAGGGGCCTGCAGATGCTCCACTGCCTGTATTTAACCAGTGGGAACCTTGTTTTTCGAGTGGTGAAACAAAAAAAAAATTAGCTGAACTTTCACTTTCTAAGATTGTAATTTTCAATTTTCCAATGTGGCAGGTTTCTGAACAAAGCCCTGCTTGACCCTAATGACTCGAAGGGAGACAGTATGGTTTGTAGCCTCAGAGAAGTAGAAGAAGCCAAGGCAGTACTTAGGCTTGTTCCGATATGGACAACGTGCTTGATATATGCTATTGTGGTCGCACAGCCCACAACTTTGTTTACTAGGCAAGCCATAACCATGAATAGATCAGTTTCAGCGTATCTCGAATTTCCCGCAGCTTCAGTTCAATTATTTATTCCTGCCACGGTTGTTGTTTTAGTTGCAATCTACGATCGTGCCTTTGTCCCTGTAGCCAGGGCTTTAACTGGGGAACCTTCTGGCATTACAATGCTACAAAGAATCGGTACTGGGGTGTTCTTATCTTTTCTTGCCATGGTAGTTGCTGCTGTAGTCGAAATGAAGAGGCTCGAGAAAGCTCAACAATATGGACTCGTGGATACGCCATATGTGACGATTCCCATGAGTGCTTGGTGGTTAATTCCTCAAAATGTCTTGCTCGGTGCTGCTGATGTGTTCACCATGATTGGAATGCAAGAATTCTTCTATGATCAGGTCCCAAGTGGATTAAGGAGCGTGGGTCTTGCTCTTTTCCTCAGTGTCATCGGCGTAGGAAACTTTCTAAGCAGCTTTCTTATCTCCATCATTGATAAAGCAACCGGTGGGGAAGGTCATTATAGCTGGTTTGCCAATAACCTGAATCGGGCACATCTTGATTACTTTTACTGGCTACTAGCTGCGTTGAGCGCTGTACAGATGGTTGCTTTCTTGTATTTTGGAAAGTCTTACATTTATAGCAGGGGAGGCGCGACATAAAAGCAGTGAGTTATGTATAGATATTTTTTATATGAAAATAATATTTTTTATTTTTAATATTAATATATCAAAAACCACCTACATTATAAAAATAATAATTAAAAATAAAAAATACCTTCTGACAAAAAAAACACATGGTTAATAATACTTTTAGCGTGGCCAACCGACGATTATTAGTCATAAGCATTTATAAAGTATTTTTAAATGATTTATAAAATATTTGTAACCTAAATTTTATAGGTTAATTTATTAAACTTGCGACTTGTATCATAATCTTTACTAAATTTAAATTTTTTTTAAAAAAACTATTTTTAATTTAATGATATTATAAAAAAATTAAATGCTTATAAAAATTAAATATTAACTATATATTAAAATATTTGTTTAAGATTTTAATAACCTTGTGAAAAAAAAAACGTAAAAGATTATAACAACCAATTTAAAATTAAAAAAAATTAAAAAAAAAATAGAATGTAGAATTTTTTAGAAAAAGGAAAGGGGATTTGTTTTTGAAAAATTAAGTGGTTGCATTGTTAATATAAACAATAAAGAAAACAGTGCAGCACCATAATGTTTTTCATTTTTTTAGTAGAATACTAGATTATTTATCTATATTATTTTATAAGTTAGATCAATTTTTAAAAAAAAAATCATATAAAAATTGACCAATTAGATCCAAACAACTTAGCAAGTCTAAAAACATCTTAGATAATAAAAAAATATATAATTTGACTAAAAAAATTAAAGATAATATTTTTTTAATGTTAAAAAAATACATATTAGATCAACCCATATCAACTCAAGTTAATTTATAAAATTTATATATAGGTTATGAGATCATGATAACCTCGTAAAAAAACACACAAAAAAACATATTAAACTTAATTTCCAATCAAATTAGTTTAAAAAATAAAAACACAAAATAATTAGAAAATAATAAAAATATTCTAATTCAATCCGAGTTAAACTATCAAATTTAAATTATTAAATTAAAATAATTTAATAAAAAATTAAAATAAATTATAAAATTAAATTATAATTAATAATTTAAATATAGATTTGGGTATGATTGATTGTTAAAATTGATCGAGAAAGAGCAATTGATCGGAAAAAAAACATTTGAAATCCAACTGAAAAGGAAATATGGTAATTGTAAGACTTTTAATAGCATGTAAAAAGCCATTTGGCTTCCAAAGGATGCCAAGGGCAACCGGCCTCAGCATCTAAAGAGATGGGAAGATGAAATTTTAAATTTCTTGCAAAATCTCCATAAATTGCACAAAAACTCTTGATCAAATGGGAAAAGAGGAGGGTTGGAAGATTCAGGGAGGTTATTTGCACAGGATTGAGGGAGTTAAAGCTTGGGAGGAGGAGGAGGAGGAGAAAATTTTGAGAATGAAAGTAGGGGAGAAAGTAAGGAAATCCTTCTCATTTTTCTTCTTCAATTCTTCATGTTACACTGTAATAATTCTTGATTTGGAGCAATTAATGAAAATTATGCAAGTTTAATAATTGAACATAAATTTTTAGGTGGAGAAAATTAGGGATTCGAGGAATTACTTGTTTAAATTGCTGAAATGATGTTATAGTCATGTTGGTGAGTATAATTACGGGCTGGGATAATTTTTTTAAATTTTCAATTATAAAAAAATTAAAAGAAGAATTAAAATTAAAATAATAAGAATTAAATCTTGTACAACAATTATTTAAAAAAACTAATTATAAATTAAATTGAAAAAATAAAGAAAATAATAAAATAAAAGCAATAAAAAAATGAGTACCAAAATTAGAAACAAAATAAAATAAAATAAAATTCTAAAGCATAAGATAAAAAAATTCTAAAGAACAAAATAAAAAAAATATTAAGGATAAAAAAATTATAATTAAAAAAATAAAAACATGATTAGATATAAAAATTAAAAATTAAGATATAAAATTTTTAAAAAAAATCAAGAAGTATTAAAATCAAAATAACAAAAATTAAATTTAAAATAAATACAATTTGAAGAACACAATTGATTTTTTTAAAGTTCGGCACCAATACTAGGCCCACAGAAAAAGGAAAAAAATTATTGTCGGCTAAACTGCCGTCAACCTGACCAAATATATCACTTCAATACTTATTAGATGAGATGGTGATGAACAATTTCAGACCACCACAGTACTCCTCACATGCCTACTAAATGATGTGCAGATGATGATGTGGGAATAGCATGCATTATTCTTCTATTGATTTATTAATGTTTTAATAATTCAAATTACTAAATAGGCTTAAGGGTGTATGAATATTATAAAAAAATATGCTGCAAAGATTAAAAAAAAGCCTTCTCAAGCTATCCTTAGATTTTTTAATGGAGATTTTGAATGCTTGAATTTACCTGGTGTATGCATTTGAGTGTTCTAATTTTTCAATTAAGCTAAAATAAGTATCTAATTCTTTTATTTTGTATAATAAAGTGTTTAAGTGGATTTTTGTTAATCAAATTCTACGGCAACTCTTAATTAATGATATTTACATTGACAGTTGAGAAAATATTTAGGGCCAATATTATCAACCAATGGGACGCTATCTCATAAAGTCCACCAAAATCTAGCTGAAAAATAGAAAATAATAATTATTTAATTAAAAATATATATTAAATCGATATTTTGTTCCGTAAAAAGAAGGTGTTATGGTGTAAATTACGTAAAAAAAAAAAATAATTGATGGAAAAAAATAGAAATAAAAAGTAATGAGGGCCATTGTGTAAATATAAAAAAAATTAGTCTATAAATGCTTCATTTCTCCTTTTTTAGCCGATGGTTTGAAACATAGAAAGGGGGAGGATTTGTGTGATTCTTTTCTACCTAAATTCTCACTGATTTCACCAATAAAAATGTGTAACTAGAGTGGTTAACATCAAGAAGAGTGATTTTAATATGGTGGGTGCTTTAGAAGAAGAAATTCAAACTAGAGTTTGAAAAAAAAAAAGAGAATAAGATTTGATTTTTTTTTCTTGCATTCTTTCCTTGAATCATTATTAAAGTGAGGTAAATAACATACTCCAAGTGATTAATTTCTTTAATTTTATGTTTGGTGAAAGATTATGTAAAATTGTGAAAATGTGGGTTTTATAATATAAATTATGGGAATAATTGAAATTATGAATGAATCATGTTAAAAAGCATGAATTATGATTGGGTAAGTGTTTAAGTTTGAATAAAAAACAAAATTTCTTTCCCCCTTTTTATTAGAATTGTCAGCCAAATAGAAAAGAAATTGGAAGATTTAAGGTTTTAATGCAATTGTTTGGAGAATGTGGAAAAATATAGGTTTATAAGTGTTTTTATATGAAATGAGTAAGAATTTTCAAGAGAAAAGAAAATTCCTAACTTTCTTCTTCAGGTGGATTTCATAAAAAAGAAGAAGAAAACTTGGCTAGAAATTGAGTGTTGATAAATTATTGAGAAATCTTGTCAAATTGCAAATAATTAATATTGATAGGTTAACTGAATAATGATTTTTATAAAAATAACTAAAAAGAAAATTTTATCCTCCTTGAATTAAAAGTTTAATCAAACTTAATTAAGGATATTGGGTTTAATCAATAAATGTGTAAGTGGTATCAGAATTATACTAGTTCAAATAAATAAATAATGATGTAGTAAATTGTGTTAGTACAGAGGAGGCTGCAATATCTAATCAGCAATAAGGACCTCTTAAGTTATTGACATGTACAATTTTAATCATGATTAATGAGATCAGGTTTTTAGATACATTATACTCTCAAGCTAGAAAGTAGATGTATGGATAGATAATTTTGTTAAGAAATTATTGTAATTGGAAGAATTATTATTTTATTGTAATACACTATTGTGTTTAAGAATTGTAATGTTTATCTTAATTATTTATGTGTGATGTTATTTATGATGTTGCTATTATTAAGTTGGATTATGGTTGGTTATATATATATTTTGAGCACAATTATCTTTGAGAGAAATTGATGTATGCTATGAATTAATTAGCTTTAAATAATTGTTCTATAGAAAAATGAAAATGAGATATTTTATATTCTGGTTGAATTTTAAAAGTTTAAATGATGGGATAAAAATTGTAATTGATGTTTGCAAGTTGAAAAATATTAAATCGATAACTTAGTATAAAAAATTACAAAGGAGACTTTGTTGAAATTTCAGTGTGTGTGTGTGTATATATAACTTAGTATTATAATCACAAGAAAATCTAATAATCTATGAGAATCTAAATAAAAGTACTAGTTGTGTAAAGGAAAAATGTATTGCCTCTGGAATACCCTACCCATGGTAAGTTGTTTTGTTGTTTGTTCCAAATCATGTTTATATGCATTAGTCTATCAAATATTCGAGAAAGTTTCTCCTCAATAAAAAAATTCTTATCTCATTAAGTTAAAATATAACTATTTTTAAACCTAGACAAGTTTGTCTAAGGTTTAAGAAAATTCTACCTTAGTAAGAAAATTTTTATCTTATCAAGTTAAAACTTTATTATCCTAAAAGCTCATAAATAAAAAAAAGATTTTTATTTGAAATTTTGGTCAAATCCTAATGGACAATTACAAATATTTTGTAATACCCATTAATTATTATTTTTTTAAATACGATAAAAATAATTTTTTTTTTCATATAAAATAAGCATGAAAAATTTAAAATCTAGTTATATGCAAATCAAGTAAAATATATTTTTTGTATTGTTGAAATGAGGAATCGTGCTAGAAATTTTT